AAATTCAACAGGGTGAAAAATTAGGTGAAATCTCACCTCTTCACCTAAACATTATTTTTTAGTCATTTACGCTCATTACGATGAAGTTTTGACATAGAGTTTACGTTCATGTTTGACATAGAGTTTACGTTCATGTTTGACATAGAGTTTACGTTCATGTTTGACAAAGTGTTTACGTTTAGTTTCGATGAAGTCTTTACGATGAAGTTTTAACAAAGTGTTTACGATGAAGTTTTGACATAGAGTTTACGTTTAGTTTGGATGAAGTCATGACAAAACATATACGATGAAGTTCGACAAAGTCTTTCGTTCATGTTTGACAAAGTGTTTACGTTCATGTTTAACATAGAGTTTACGTTCATGTTTGACATAGAGTTTACGTTCATGTTTGACAAAGTGTTTACGTTTAGTTTCGATGAAGTCTTTACGATGAAGTTTTAACAAAGTGTTTACGATGAAGTTTTGACATAGAGTTTACGTTTAGTTTGGATGAAGTCATGACAAAACATATACGATGAAGTTCGACAAAGTCTTTCGTTCATGTTTGACAAAGTGTTTACGTTCATTACGATGAAGAAGTCATGACAAAACATTTACGTTCATTACGATTAAATCATGACAAAGCATATACGATGAAGTTTTGACAAAGCATTTACGTTCATTACGATGAAATCATGACAAAACATTTACGTTCATTACGATGAAGTCATGACAAAACATTTACGATGAAGTCATGACAAAACATTTACGTTCATTACGATGAAGTCATGACAAAACATTTACGATGAAGTCATGACAAAACATATACGATGAAGTTTTGACATGAAAATTCAACAGGGTGAAAAATTAGGTGAAATCTCACCTCTTCACCTAAACATTATTTTTTAGTCATTTACGCTCATTACGATGAAGTTTTGACATAGAGTTTACGTTCATGTTTGACATAGAGTTTACGTTCATGTTTGACATAGAGTTTACGTTCATGTTTGACAAAGTGTTTACGTTTAGTTTCGATGAAGTCTTTACGATGAAGTTTTAACAAAGTGTTTACGATGAAGTTTTGACATAGAGTTTACGTTTAGTTTGGATGAAGTCATGACAAAACATATACGATGAAGTTCGACAAAGTCTTTCGTTCATGTTTGACAAAGTGTTTACGTTCATGTTTAACATAGAGTTTACGTTCATGTTTGACAAAGCATTTACGTTTAGTTTCGATGAAGTCATGACAAAGCATTTACGATGAAGTTTTGACAAAACATTTACGATGAAGTCATGACAAAACATATACGAAGAAGTCTTGACAAAACATTTACGTTCATGTTTGACAAAGTGTTTACGTTTAGTTTCGATGAAGTCTTTACGTTCATGTTTGACATAGAGTTTACGTTCATGTTTGACAAAGTGTTTACGTTCATGTTTGACAAAGTGTTTACGTTTAGTTTCGATGAAGTTTTAACAAAGTGTTTACGATGAAGTTTTGACATAGAGTTTACGTTCATGTTTGACAAAGTGTTTACGTTTAGTTTCGATGAAGTTTTACGTTTCATGTTTGACATAGAGTTTACGTTCATGTTTGACATAGAGTTTACGTTTAGTTTCGATGAAGTCTTTACGTTCATGTTTGACATAGAGTTTACGTTCATGTTTGACAAAGCATTTACTAAAAGTCTATGAACATAATAATATTTCAAACCAGGAGCCAAATTCTTGCGATTTTCATATGGAATCTCTTCCCTCGGTTTTCCGAGGGAAGCAATCATATGAAATCATTTACACTCATTACGATGAAGTTATGACAAAGCATTTACGATGAAGTCATGACAAAGCATTTACGATGAAGTTTTGACAAAGCATATACGAAGAAATCATGACAAAGCATATACGATGAAGTTTTGACAAAGCATATACGATGAAGTTTTGACAAAACATTTACGATGAAGTTTTGTCAAAGTGTCTATGTTATACAGTAATGTTAGTCATGAATGTTTGTCCTACGTGTTGGCGTTAGTGTTGAAAAATAATGTTTGTCCTACATGAACCCGTACAAGCGTTTGAATTTGTTTATGAATAAGATTACACTCTTGTTTTCTGTATCTATCATACAAACATAAGCAGCACCTGTTTTTGTAAAGTTTATATGAAGTTTTCGATAGTTAAGACCTGTATAATAATAGAATGCGTCCTCATTCTCAACATAGTAGTAGAACTCAAACGAATGCTTACCATAATCTGTTATTTCAACAGCTTCGTCAGATATTTCATCAACGAACTCATAAACTATATCGCCATACTTGCTTTTATTTCTATTGTTTTCAGATCTAGAACACCAACGAAGGTTTGAGATTCTGTTGTCCGTTCTATCATGATTTATATGGTCTATTTCTTTCAAATTGTTTGGATTTTCAATCCACTGTTCTGCAATAATTCTATGCTTTAAGTACATTTTGTTGTTTAAACTAAGCACAATATAACCATAATTATTTAAGCATTCACTCATAATATGTTTGTCTTTCTTTCGACGAATAGTAAAAGGATATGTCGTACAAATCTCATAATCTTCATGATTTCTCAATGTTTCCCATTGAGTTTGTTCCCCACTAACGTTCTCATTGACGTCCTCAATATCTTCTTCCTCACTGAACTCGTCAATATTTTCACTAGCTCCTTCTGTAATGTTTTCATCGGCATTGTCATTGACTTCTTCTGTAATGTTAGATGTTGTTGTTTCGCTCATGTTCTTTCACTAATGTTAAAAGTTATGTTGTACGAATTTTGAACAGAATTTAGAGCAGTTATGAAACAATGAAGTACTTTTACGCTATTGAAAGGAACTATGAGAGTGAAGTACATGACAGCAATGACAAAAGGAACTAATATCAAACCTAATGAAATCGCTCACGAGGACATAGAGCTTAACAAGTACTTTGTGGAGTATCTTATAAGTGAAGAGTATGTAAGACCTTACTTCATGTTTGACAGCATGAATGAGGATGTTATTTCATGGTTAAAGAATATAAGCAATGTTTTCGGTAAGTACGTCATAGATGACAAAGGTCTTGTTGTATTTTATGAGACAGCAATACGAACACAGGAACTAATGGATATTATGCACTCAACAGCAAAGAAAGGATTTAGTACTATTGGCATGAATGAACATTGCAGGAATGACATATACAACCTATGCTCACGAAATCCTTACACAAAAGCAATACAAATGAAGAACATAAAGCGACTAAGGTCAGCAAATGAAATCATTACTGTCAGTGGTTATGAAAGAACTGTTAGCAAAGATGAGTGGAAACAGCTATTCATATTAAGGAAGGACGTTGCTGAACTAGTTAAACCTGTTGCACAAACATTGTTTCAGATAAGACCAGCAATGACTAAGAACCCTTTGACCTTAGTCAATGAGACCATAGAGGTTGAAGATAATGACATGAAAGAACTAGGAATGAATGAGAGAAGTTGTGAAGGATGTTTGAGTCAAAACACATGGTTCTTCAGAGCTGTTAAGAAACTTAGTAAAGAACGACAGAAATATTTTATAGAGAAGTATTGCAAAGGATGTGTAAATGAATTGCTTGAAATAGAACTTAGAGACACTTTCACACTAAAGGACTTGAGGAGAAATAAGTACATGAGTGAGGACGGTATTGACATAGCTAGTGTTATAAATGACTTAAGAAGATGTGTTGTTGTTATTGACGGAGCACGTATGACATATCTAGTGAAAGATTATGATGGAATACGAGACACAACAACACTTGTGTCAGTAGATAGCAAGGAATTCAATAAGCTCATGAAGAGTGTTTATGTAGGACGTATTGAGGAGAAGGATGTGAACGCACTGATGATTTATGAAGCGGGTCAGAACAAGAACTATCTTATGAAGTCAGGCATGAGATTCTTTGACGAAAGAGATGACATTTACAGCTATTTCAGAGGATATGAGTATGAGGTACTGAATGAAGTAGATGAAAGCATTATTAAAGGATATTTGAAACATGTTCACGATGTCATATGTAATGAGGATGAAGAGCTTTATGAGTATGTTTTGAACTGGTTCGCCTACATCGTTCAAAATCCTTGTGGAAAGACTGGAACAGTACTTTTGTTAATAGGAAAGCAAGGAACTGTAAGAATGTACTTAGTAATGTTCTATGCGAGCTCATTAACAAGTACGCCAACAATAATATAACGGCAATAGAGAATGTGGTTGGTAGATTCAATGCTGCTATTGAGAACATGAAGCTCATCGTATGCAATGAACTAAGCTCATGCGATACGTCTAAGGTCATGAACCACGACGCACTAAAGTCAATAGTAACAGAGACTCAGTTGACTTAAATCAGAAGTGTCAGCCAGTAAGAAAGATAGAGAATGTTTGTAATATCATCATGATATCTAACAACTTCAACTCAGTAAAGATTGACAAAACGACAGAAGATTTGTTGTCATTGACGTAAGCAGCAGATACAAAGGAAATTACGAATATTTCTCAAATCTCATTGAAAGCTTTAATGAAGAGTTTTATTCAAACTTACTGACGTACTTCATGAGGAAAGATTTAAGTGAATTTGATGTAAGGAAGATACCATTCACCAGGGCTAAACAAGAACTCATCGAAAATGAACAAAACACCTTACCAAATGTTTTACGAGGAGTTCTATGAAAAGTTTGTATCCGGATGGAATTGTACAGAGTGCTACAGAAGATATAAAGAATTTGCGAAGGAGAATGAATTCTTTGCATGTAGTTCAAATGTATTTGGTGGCAAGATGAGAGAATTTGTGAAGAGAAGTAGAAAGCAGGACGGTTCTGCAAGAAGTTATATTTACGAAGCAAGTATGATATTAGAAGGTCGTGGAAAGAAAGAAACAGTGAATTATGAGGAAGTGCTTGAAAAATTCATGGAGTACATGGGAAGCAATATAACATACAACAAAGACATATACAGTGAGTTTAAGTACTATTGTGAACAGCATGAGATTGAAGTAATGAGTAAAGGAGATTTTGAAACGCTTATGAAAGACAGTAAGGAGGTCGTTCATGAGAACAGTGTTGAAATAGTTCATGAGAACAGTGAGGAGGTCATACATGAGAACAGTGATGAAATAGTTCATGAGAACAGTGAGGAGGTCATACATGAGAACAGTGATGAAATAGTTCATGAGAACAGTGAGGAGGTCATACATGAGAACAGTGATGAAATAGTTCATGAGAACAGTGAGGAGGTCATACATGAGAACAGTGATGAAATAGTTCATGAGAACAGTGAGGAGGTCATACATGAGAACAGTGTTGAAATAGTTCATGAGAACAGTGAGGAGGTCATACATGAGAACAGTGATGAAATAGTTCATGAGAACAGTGAGGAGGTCATACATGAGAACAGTGATGAAATAGTTCACAATGTCGTTCGTGAAGAAGCCATTGCAACAAAGAATGAGATAAAGGATTTCATAGAACTTAACAAGGAGGAGTTTAAAGAAGGCTATGAAGTGAAAAGATGTGAAGAAGATTTCTTGGCGTATTTGAAGAAAAAGAGACTAAAGCCAATGGCTCAAAATAAGTTTCAATCGATGTTTGAAAAGAAACGTTTGAGCTATGGTGGTGTAAGAAGCACATATTACTTTGTTAAGAAGTGAGGACATTTATTTTTGTCGTTAGTGTTGGAGTTTGTACTTGTTGTTAGTGAGAGAATAAATTAAATCATGAACTTTGCCATGGTCTCTGTCCCTAGTAGTTTTCATTAAGTTCTGGAAATAATGAAAGTCATGAACTTTGCCATGGTCTCTGTCCCTAGTAGTTTTCATTATCTCACAGAGTTAATGAAAGTCATACTTTCTATCAGATGAAGCATGCAGATGAACATAGTGAAAGTTAGTGAGTTTGCCACGAGTTATGAATAAAATATTGGCATATTAGATGAGATAGCTGATGAAACAGATGAAGATAAATTAAATCTTGGACTTTGCCACACTCTCTGTCCCTAGTTCCTCAAAAATCCTGGACAACGTTGCTTAGAAATTTTGGTTCAAAACCTCATCTGATTTGAATCTGTTATGCTACCTGTTAAGTTTCGCGAGATTATAAATGTCATGGAGTTATATAAAAAGGAGGGACAGCTAGGGACACTGGAAGTACTTGTAAGGCTATCTGTTAAGATTGCATGAAATACTAAAAGTCATGAAATCCATTATCGCTGTGCTAGCTTCACCTTAGAGTGAAATGACGACTAAAGTCACTGAAGCAATGAAACAAAAGTTTTTGGTAGAATACATTAAATCAGGAACTATTCCAGAAGGTTTTTACATTCATACTATGAAGGATGGTAGAGTTCAGTTTAGAAAGATAAAGCAACCATTAGATAAAGAAGGAATTTTGAGAAAGATTAAACTTCATGAGGACAACATTACTAAACTTAGGAAGAAGTTAGAAGAGTTGGAGAAAGGAAGAGAGTTATAAAGCAATGAATTCAACAGGGTGAAAAACCGGGTGAAAAAAGAGGTGAGATTTCACCACTTCACCTAAATTTATTTTTGTGCTATGTTTTCATACGTGTGAGGGTGGTGATATCATTTATTTTTAAGTTTATTTTTAAGTTTATTTTTATGTAAATGACGAAAACTATTGAGATAACAAACTACAACGGTCATGAGTTCAAGAATTTGTTCTTCGTTCCTCGTGAAAATACATTCTATCAGATACGAGGAGAAAGGGTAAAGTTAGTTTGAGCGTTTATGACAATAAACATAATGGGAGATATATAAAAGCAATAGATACAAACGGTAAACGTGTTTCATTAGCTTTGTCAAAACTTACATACATTTATTTTGACAGTGATTTTGACTCTGACGATTGGAGTGACAGCAGCGATACTGAAGAATATGAACTATTGTGTGAAGCACAGCAATGGGAAGCGCTGCAATACTTTTGTAAATGAGAACATTAGTGGGAACGTTAGCGAGAACGTTTATTTTTTCATTAGTGAAGTCGTTAGCGAAAATGTTAGTGAGGTGAAGTGGTTGGCGGCTTTGTAAATATTTAAGGTTAAGTTAGTGTTGTCGTTTGTGTTGTAAAATATACGTTAGCGGTTTTGTAAAGTGTCAAATCGTTATCTTGGGTAAGGTGGAACGCAGTGCCGCCGTACCCAAGATAGGGATACTAACTGGAGAATATCTAGTTTGAAGAGCATGTATTCTCTCTGCAAATCGTTTGATTGCACGTGGTTTTTGAGCGTACATCTCTGGAATGGACGGACCTGTAAGAGGAATTTCAAGATCTTTGAATGCATTTAGCTGTGCTATCGCTCTTTGATTGTCATCTGTTTGGAAGTAATGTTCTAAATATTTGCGATAAAAGACAGACGAATATTGACTTTTGTCATTTGGGGCGGAATGATCATGTTCTTCAACTATTTTGATTAGTTTGTATTTATTTTGATCCAAGATTGCAACATTAAAATGTGCAGGACATTTTGGATATTTGCAGTGGAATGAAATCTGAGATCTTTCTTTCCTGACACGTTCACCATATCCATACTGTGCTTGTATTTCTTGTTTAACTCCAAATTTACAAAGATCCATAACAGTAAAGATAGTTTCTTCTTCTAATTCCATTTGAAATTGAAATGAAAATTAAAAATTCAGAAATTTGAATAGATTTGGTCTGTAATTAAATGAGAATAGCAGTTTGTTCGTCATTGTTTGAGGCAAGAGTATTATAGGAATATTATATGATGGATTTGAGTTGCATATAAAGAGTGCAAAAGGATAAAGAGAGAAATTTTGTTAGATTAAATTATTAAATTTTAATTCTTTATTTTTTAGGATTGTTAGCTTTGTAAGATTGCTTTTTCACAAGAGAAAACAAGTATAAGGTTTAAGCTGTATGTATTAAAGTTATAAATATTTGATTTTAAAAAAAATCAAGATTTTAAACTTTAAAGGTATTAATTATGATTATCTTTCTTTAGCTTTACATGCTGTATGCTACTTTTGTCTTTGAGACATTCCATGATTTAAGTTAAGAAGCTTTAAAAAAATGCAAAAAAAATTGAATACTTTACTGGCTGGGCAAATTTGTCGCCGCCCCTAATTGAATACTTTTCGCAAAACTTTAAAAATCGATAAAAATATGAAATATAGATATTAAAGAGACTTTTTATATAATATTCATAAAGATTTTCCAAAAATATGATACCGCAAAATTAAAAAAGTGACGTCTTGAGTGGAGTCAAAGGTCGAAATTGCTAGCTAAATGTTTTTTTAGCGAAATTGCGTATTGTACGTTTTTTTCGCAAAACGAAACCCTTAATCATAGTAATATATTTTTGTTTGTATGTATATATATTCTTAGTAAACTTTATGTTTGTTTATTTAAAACTCTTTTACTCTTCTTATAGCCTTTGTTTAAAATATAATAGTTCAATTAGTCAAGTATATGTTTTAAACAGAAATTCATCAAAAGTGACACCTCAGAAAAGCTAAAATATTGAATTTTTGGAACTTTTGATAGAGCACGTTTTTAAATATTAATTAAAGTAAATGTATATTTTGTAAAGATTCTTTTTAATAAAAAATAAAATTTTGAAGAAGAACACAAAATCTTCTGAAAAATAATATCACATAAACTCATATTATTTTCTAATATATAACTATTTTATATAAAAATCAAATTCAATGATCTTAAAAGCGAAGGATAAACCTCAAAATTTACGAATATAATGAGTGGGAATATAATGCTTATCTATCATAAAACCATAAGAAATATCAATTTTTGCTTTACGCCTAATTTTTGACGACAATTAGCAAAAAATGTTAAATGTTAACACTCAGTCCATTTGAATATGAAAAATAAAATTGACTTTGATTAAATGTTTTTATTTATCATGCAATTCTTCTTGCGACCAAAGATTTGAATAAAATTTCAAAAAATAAGATAGCTTAAAAAATAATATACGGTAGTGTTTACTAATAGATGAATAGTATATAAATTCTATTAAAATGGATTTGATCCAAAAAAATATAAAACCAAAAATAATTGTTATAATTTAAATGAAGAAGTAATTTAAAACGATTTTATTTATGATCAAATTTTATATATTTTTTTGGATCAAATCCATTTTAATAGAATTTATATACTATTCATCTATTAGTAAACACTACCGTATATTATTTTTTAAGCTATCTTATTTTTTGAACTTTTATTCAAATCTTTGGTCGCAAGAAGAATTGCATGATAAATAAAAACATTTAATCAAAGTCAATTTTATTTTTCATATTCAAATGGACTGAGTGTTAACATTTAACATTTTTTGCTAATTGTCGTCAAAAATTAGGCGTAAAGCAAAAATTGATATTTCTTATGGTTTTATGATAGATAAGCATTATATTCCCACTCATTATATTCGTAAATTTTGAGGTTTATCCTTCGCTTTTAAGATCATTGAATTTGATTTTTATATAAAATAGTTATATATTAGAAAATAATATGAGTTTATGTGATATTATTTTTCAGAAGATTTCATTCTATATGCCTATGAAAAGTACTCTCAAAACTAACTTTTCCTAATTATAATTAAATCTAGAATATTGTATTATGCTTAGTATTATTTCATTTTCCTCATTCAATTTAGAATTTACAAATGTCAAAAAATTGAGAGCTGTCACTTTTGATGAATTTCTGTTTATTACATATATGATAATATAGAATTAAGGGTTTCGTTTTGCTAAAATTGTCACTTTTATAGCATATTTGTTTTTGGATGTTTTGCGAAACCAAAAAAAAACTATGATATACAATGTGTGTGTAAAGAAAATACTTTATTTACTAGTTAAAAAATCATTTGGTATTGATCAAGTTATTTTTTCTGGATAAGATATTATATGGATAATTGGATAGAAAATACAATTATATAATCTTGTACCTGGTTTAATTAAGCTAATTGTCATCAGAAACTTGTAATTTTTATGAATTTCAGATTTTCTTTTCATTACTGCTTTTCTTAATAGGTCAAGTTCTTATTTACGTTATAAAGTATGATATTTTACAAATATCAAGTTATCATGTTTTTTGAGAAATTATGAGAAACAAACAAAAATGAAAAAGATAGGAATAGCAATGAATAGTGATGTGGGTATAGAAAATGTAAGAGATATGAATGCAAAGCAACCAGTATTTAGGACATTGACCATAGATTTCGAAAAAAAATGGGGTATTATTATTGTCGTCTGGCGGTTTTAGAGGACAATGCGAATTTTCAAATAATAGGATTTTTAGCCAGATAAAGAGCTACTCCATATATCATGTGTGTTTGCATACTATATACATAGATGGAATTGATGTTCTTCCTTTATTTAGGTACCGAAACATGCTTGAAAAATCTATTTTTTAGACGACAATGATAATTTTGTCACTTTTCCAGACGACAATAATAATTTGTCACCTTTTTAGACGACAATAATAATTTTGTCACTTTTTCCAGATGATAATAAAACATCCTCAAAAAAATGCTGCATATTGAGCGAAAACTATGATTATATTATAAGGCTGTCATTTAAAGCATAATGAAACTATTCCCTTTTCATTTTAATCGAATAAGATAGTAAAGATTTTTGAATTAGCTAGAAACTGATGAGATGTT